CCACGGGACTTAGCCTGCCTTTGGGATCAGGGGTGAAGGTACGTCACTGATGTGTGTGAGGTTGAACAGCGTGACTGTCTTGAATCGGCTTTGCTGTTTTATGTTTGATTGCTTTGAAATCTCTGTTTTGGTGGCTTTTGAATAAAAAACCAACAAACTAAATCACAGCTGCACGTTGTTTAAATGCTAGGTTGGCATTTGTTGTCTGAGATTTGCAGTAACTGGTGTGAATTAGTCTTTTAACTTGTTCTTACACAGTGACTGAGCCAGGAGGTTTTAGGATGGTGATGCCTGTGCAGACATAGTCAGAAATGGGAGGCTGTGAGAGGCAGTGACAGTGTTAGTCAAACTTCAGCACCAAGTCAGGATCACACAGAACTCATGGCTCTTGTGTAGCATACCAATATTAGGATGCTCAGGTATGCCTGTGGAATCTTACTGAGGTATTTTGTATATAATAGTTTATGCTTAAAAACTTCTTTATGTTTTTACTGGGAGGAGAGTGCAAGACTTGACTGGAGTTTGCCTTGACCAAAGTATTTCAGTCTTTTGAGGTTTGTGGAAATGGAAAGTTATGGTCAGCAAACTGGAAAGAAAAGAGGGACTAGGTACAGGGAGGAAAAAGCTGTCATAAAACTTAAACTAAGCTTACTAGCCATTCATCTTCCATGCCTCTTTTTCCTCTAAAACTCTGTAAGATGGATAATTACGGTCACAGTAAGTGCTGGTCAGACAGCTGATAAACAGGATGAGCTCTGTTTTTATCAGATTCTGTGTTTTTGTCTGGTCAGTTGTTAGTACAATAAAGGATTTTTCTGTGTTTTTCAGTATTACAAAAGTGGAAGGAGTAGAGGGTTTGTTTTTAATTGGCAGTTGTTAATTGGTTTCCATGTAGGGTACATTGATAGACCAAATCCTGGTATAAAATATTTCTTACAGCGCAGCCTTGAGCAGTCCTGAAGTGGGTTCCACCAGTAACCTACACATTGCACTTGAAATGAAAACACTGGGTACTGAAAAGTGAAAATAGTGTCGGTGTCAGCAGAATTCCTCTCAGTTGTGTCCTGATTTCTAGAGATTACAGTAATTCATGGTTAATTTTACATTACGTAGAGTGGTCATGATGTAATTTGCGATACAGAAGGAAGTATGAATAGGCTGGATTTGCAGAGCTTTTGGGGAAATCTTGAAGAGTATTTGCCTGTTTGTGCTAGGTTTTCTCATGACAAAACTAAATCATAATCATGTTGTGTTGGGAAGGAAGAGGGGAAACTTGTACCTACTTCATGCAAAACCAACAAAAATCATCTGCGGTTCGTGTCAGTGAGATGAACTGAATCAACTTTTGCTTCTCTTCCGAGATCCTCCAGGTGGCAATCTTGCATCGGAGTGAAGGGTACAGTGGTTGTTTTCTGGCATTGAGTCTTTTAGGTCTGTCCTTGTGATGGCAACAAACGCTTGCTTGAAGCACTGCAGAGGATGCTGCTGTCGGTCGGGAAAATGCCGAATCCTGCACGTAACTTGGACACAGAGTGGTTGCGTGGACGTGTGCAGCCCTAAACTTGGGCGCGGTGGACACAACGGTATATTTATCTCCTCGGCAGTTATGAAAATAAGTCCATGGATAGCTTGTTATGATGGAGTAGAAGGAAAGTTTGTCTACCTAAGTTCAGCAGTGGCATTTCAGCAAGCCGTGGTGCATGCAGGTCTGTTAACCTCCCTGTAAAACGGGCTGAGAAAGGAGTTGTTTTGGTTACAGACTTCAGGAGTTTTGTGCATTCTGAAAACTTTAATCACGTTGTTTTGCTAGGCCATGGTGCCTAGGTCTGAGGCTGCTGCAGCAGCTGTGCCTGAGGCTGGGCTGTGGGGAAAAGGTGTGGGGACGGCTGCTCTTGGCTGCTTGAGGGATGGGCTCTGCAGTTCAGTGCCCACGTAACGTGGGGTTACGGGCAGGATCTGAACCTGCCTAAGCACTGACCAGGTATCGTCGAGTTTCAGGGTTATCTGATCTCCTGCACCTTCTGTTCCCTTCTTTTGGTGTCTCAGGGCACTGCGGCTCACTGAAAGGACTGCAAAAGAAATAGAGCAGCTGTACTTCTGAGCTGCCTAACAAGTCTCTCTGCACATTCTGTTATCCAGAATTTCATGTAGGTATCCAAAGATGAGGCTTCAGTTAAGCAAAGCTGAGAGTCTGAGTTAATTTCCAAAAATAATCGGTAGATGACAACGTACCTTGGGTGGCACCAGCTCACAGAGGAGGTATTTGAGTTGGCTTAGGGAAATGTTAGCGTTAATGTTGGAGATTTGGCAGGCGGCTCTCGCAGACACCAAATCCTCCTCGGATATATTTTTGTATATCTTGAAAGCTGCATGTGAAAACCCAAAAGCCTGTTTAATTCACTTTTGAAGTTGTAGAGGAAAAAACGGAAAAGGTCAAGAAATGTAAAAATTTCAGCGAAGCTGGGGTGTTAATTTGGTTGTGCCGAGCGATTGCTGTTCCTTTCCTTTGTACTTTTTAAATGAGTAGCTTTGTGGGGATTTTTGTCGTTAAATGAATTTGATGATTTCACAGTTTTCTTTTTTTAAGAGTTTATCTCTTTATTGCCCAGCTGAACAGTTGTGTTAATGAGTTTGGTTTGCATTCTGCTTGTAAAGATGAAGGCTGATGGTGAGACTTCATAGTCAATGGCACCATTAGTTTGCAGTTTTGAGAGTGTAACTGCTCACCAGCCTGGTTTTCTGTCTGTTTTCAAAGCCAGATGCTGATTAGAGATGTGCAGTCTTGCCAGTTAACTCACTGAGAAATGGGCACATCAGTTCTGATAGCAGAATTTGTCTTTCAGATAGGTCTGCTCGTATCTGCTGCAGAGTTTATAGCTCGGAAAGAAATGAGTTTTATGTACAATGTTGTATTTTGATGTCTGATGAGAAAGAATCTTCAAGAACAAAACCACTGAGATAGCTTAATTTTATTTTCTCTATATTCTTTCTGGATTTTAGCTTCTGAGTAAGTTAAATTGTTTTGTTAATAGTGTTGTTTACGACCACTCCAAGATCGTTTTTGCACAGGCTTTTTAATAGGGAAACCTGTAAAAGAGTGATGTAGCTGTTTTGACAACAATAGTCCAGTGAGGTTCAGTATTTTGGTGAATTCAAAGGCAGAGGGGACTCAAAAGCGGAACCTTTGTGCGCAGGAGGAGGCGATGGTGCCTTGGAGGCAAGTGCTGAGCCTGCTGCCTTCAGCCTGCCCTGCTCCCGTGGCCTCCTCAGCTGTGCTGATGCTGTAAATCAGACAAGTGAGGTAAAACAAACCTGAAAACAACAGAAAAGGAGGGTGGGAGGCAGAACTTCTGAGGTTGGATTTGCTGCGGAAGATAAGGAACATAAAACTATTGCCACTGTTGAGACATCTATATATAATTTTATTTTATTTTATTTTTCTCCAGGTAAACCATTCTTGTTAAACATACACCAGAAATGTTATGTGTGCTAGGGTAGTTTGGTAACCTCGCTCTGTTTTGCCTCACTGATTTGTTTTGGAGCATTTGGGGAAATAGGAGGCTGTGCCTGTAAGAATGGCAAGGAGACACTGCTGTCTATAATAGCCTGGAGGAAGCTGAGTTGGGGTGGTTACCTCTGTATCCAGTGAGGAGGTCACTACTGAGTATTTTTCATTTTAATTAGGATGTTGAGCTGAAGTACTTAAGCTGTGAGGCATTTATGTGAGAGCTTCTGATTATGTTTGTTGAAAGAACCTGTTAATGAAGTGAAGGGGAAGTCTCTTTCTGTTGTGGATGGCACTGGAGACCTAATTTAAAGGTTACAGGGAAAATTAAGCTTCGAAGCCTCATAGGCAATAATTCTGCAGGAATATTAGCTTGCTTCCCCCCCAACATAGGTACGTAGATGTATATTAAATGCTGCTGAGAGGAAACTAGCTAAGAAAATCCAGTGAGAGTGAACGACTCGGGTAATCAGTCGTACCTGCCATGGAAATATCACCCAGGTGTGTAGGAGAGACGTCCTGAAGTGCTTTCGAGTGCCACTTCCCTCCTCTGTGTGTTTCTATCCTGAAGCCATTCCAGTTTGCTGTGGAGAACTGGTGCGAGATGAGAAAACATAGCTGCAAGAACTGGAGGAAATGCTGTAGGGAACAAGATGACTTTTCCCTCTGTTGTGAGCAGCAGACTGCTGAATTAAGGAAAAGTCCAGTTACTGACAGACTGTTTTCAATCCTGTGCAATGTGGTTTTTTGGTCTCCCTTGCTGTTAGGCTGATAGATTCGAATATTCTGCTTGAGGTAGCCTGATCATTTTTTAAAAAACTTCCTGCTTTAGTGGGAGACTGTTTCTGTCCTTAATTCCTCAATTCTGTCCTTTAATTCCCTGTTCTGCAAGGTTGGTTTGCATGAGTAGCTCCACTGACTCCCAGAGCGCTCTGCACTCAGGCTCCTCAGCACTGGCACCACTGCACAGAGCAGCCTCCAGCTGATGCTCTTTTACCACTCAGACTTATTTCAGTCTCCGGCCTTTCGGGGTGTAAACGTAGCAGTCCCACGCTTGCAGTTTTTGTAGCCTGAGTGTCACAGTGTGTGACCGCTGTTAAACTGAGGTCATTTTAAAGTAAGTGTTATATCTGTAGCGGCCAACACAGCCACTCCTGCATGCGAAACGCGTTTTGTGCTCTGCAGTGCCAGTAATGAGCCATTAAAATTCCGTGTTGGATAATTCTTCAGACAAAAAGTATTCACTAAGCAATTGTTTCATCATTTACCTTGAAAATCAACGTTGTACGGTATTTCCTATTTTGTTCTGCTTAAAATAGGGGCTGTGACATTTTTGTACTTTCTTTGGAGCCGAGATTGGGAGGGTTTATGGAGCCATGGTATCCCAAGGAAGAAGTAAATTGTGCAAGATTTGCATTCAGAGTCCTTCAAGCACCTCTGTTGCCCATCCTAATGTAATTTGCTGTGGTGTAAATTAAACAGATACTGAGTATAGTGGCACAGTAAGTTTGCTTTTAATATTTTCATTCGGTTGTTGCATTTAACATGTCTGTCCTTCCCCACCCCCTCTTTTTTCTCCCTAATAGGTGCAGGCAAAACTCCGACCTTAGGAGGAGGATTCCATGCAAACCTGGGAAAGGAGTCCCGAGCACAAACCCTGCAGAACGGTACTGGCAAGCTTTAGTCTTGGTGATACGACTGGTTTGTGTGGGGTTTCTTTAATTAATGTGTTCATGACAATTAACTTCTAGTTTTGAATGTGACCTCAGAACCTCGGCAGGCCACTCGTTAGTCAGATCTGCCTGGTGCTGATTCTACATTGCGCTCCCATTGGGGTGTTACACCGGATTGATGAGGTCAGGTAACTGGCTGACAAAGGGTAATGGCACCCGACAGGGCTGTTGTAGTTTAAAAGGGCTTGTTCAAGGTTGACGTGCCCATTGCACCTTTTTGTTATCTGCTAATGTATTGTGGATTTTTATTTTATCAGTTTTCAGAGTTCCTGAAATGCGTGATGTATGTTTAAGTGTAGTTGTTCAAGTGCTTTTGTTTTTATGCAACATAATTGAGAAATAATGCATGTATTTATGCACACTTCGTAGTAATCATGTGCTTGATATGTGACTGTAGGACAGAGGGGAAAGGGAAAAAGACTTTAGCGTACAGAAAATACTTAAATAAATATTCTCATTACATGCTCTACATTTTAACTGAGATCTACACATCTACATAACATGCACACTCTTCAAAGTGAGTCAATAAAACCAGCTTTTATTCCAGAAGCAGAATGGTCTCCCAGTTTCAATTGCTGTTACTCATATCAATGGACAGGACTTGTCACTTCTGGGCTAATTGATACTCTCTCTCATGATCCTTGGAGTTGACAGCTGATGGACTGTCTCATCAAAGACTGAAGAGCTGACGTGTAATTAACCACGGGACGTAGATGGGTTTTCCTAAATCCAAGCCTTATACTTGCAACTCAGACACAGAAAGTGTTGGCTGCTGCTACGCCTGTAGATACACAAAGGATAGGATTGATCTGATATTGTATCTCCATAGGTGTAGAAAGGTTGAGGTTGATCTGTGTTATTGAAAAACATTGCTTTACTCAGCATTATTCAGCTGATTTATACACAGATTGTTTACATGCAGAATGTTTTATGTAGCTGTTTGCATTAAGCCCTGCTTGTTTGGCAGAGTAAAGCTCACACTTGCGTGAGCTAGTGTCACAGTCAGGTCCAAAGCTACTCTCCTACGAGTTTTAAAAATGCCTGTGTAAAGTGTAACCTGTATAAGCAGCGCAATAAAACCACTAGAAGAGCTTTTACAGTTCGTGAAGTTTGTCTTTGGATGAAGGTTTTTTAGTCAAACTTGTAATTTTGCACAGGCATTTTAAAAACAAGTTGGCTTGTGCATAAGGACTGTCCAGGTCTTTGTCTTTAATAGTAGAAAAGTAAAAAGCTAAGGGGAGATAATGCTGTCCTGTTGCTTCTTGGAGTGTTTGAATCCTTCAAAAGCCCTTGTGGTTGTACTGAAAGGTAACTGCAATTAAAGGCAGTGTGGGCGTTTTTCTGGAATCTAAACATGGCTTCTTTCTTTGAGTGCTGAGGAGTATGTCTGAGCATCTTCCTTCCCCACAGCTCTTGTGTGTGAGGCCCCCCTAATTGTACACAAAGATTCTGACTTGGCTAAAGTCTGTCAGCATCATATACAAGAAATTATGGTTGCTTTAAATGAAATCATCTCCCATACAGCTTTGAAAGAGAAAAATGATTTATCTTTTAACCTATGCCTGTCTGAGGCCTTCATGAATCTTCCTTTCCTTTTTGTGGTTATCCTTTATATAAGAAAAAAGTACTTAGTCTGTGATTTCTGTAGCCAACCTGCATTTGTCATGCTGCCAATCTGTCTCTGAGAAAGTTCTTTCCAGTGAGCTAAGTGATGTTCTGCTCAGTCCCAGGCATGACAACAGCAGCTGATATTTCAGGTAGAGCAATTGGTGTTTGAAAGGCTTTTCTTTCTGCTGCTGTATAATGAGCTGGTTGTCTGCTGCGTTTAACCACACTTTTAGCTTTGCATAGTTTTTAATTGCAAATTGAGCTACGGCAGTGAACTTACAAAATCTCACCCTGTCACTGTGTGCCCGTGATCATGACTTGGTGGGGTTTTTTTGGTGAAATTACGTTAATATCCATTGTGTTTGGTCTTGAAAGTGTAGCAAAGTACATGAACTTACTGTGTATATTATTTTAAAGAAAAGGTATGGGGTTGCTCATTGAGTGGAAGTGAAGTATTAAAAATGAACTTATCCTTGGAGCGCTGCAGTGATCGGACAAAAAATGCTGAGCTACTTATTTATTTATTTGCTGGTACTACTGCATTTGCATTTCCAAAGTTAACTGAGTGGCAGATGAAGTGCTGAAATGAGCTCCCCTCGGGATGCTGGTGCAGCACAGCTTGTGAGCAGCTTCAGGAGGCCTGGTCCTGTGCTCACTGACGGCGCCTGCGTCAGGGCTGCCTGCACCTTCAGTGGGGTCAGCACATCATTTCCTCCTGTATCTGCTCTGTACCATACGGGCTATTGCCCAAGGGAAGAGCCAGATTCTCTGGGAAGCCTGGGTTGCTCTGGATGTTGTCCACAGTGTATTGGAGAGCGGCTGAGAGCGTGTGTGTGTGTGTGGTCTGGGAGCACTGGCAGGCCTTGCGCTGCGCTGCGCCTGGTCTGCTTGCCAGCAACCTGCGGGCTTGACATGATGCAGGGAAAAGTCCAGCAACAGAGCAAGGACTTGCTGTTTTTCAAAAAAACAACAACCTCCCCCTGCTTTCCGTTCCCTCCTCCATGTCCGTTAGGCCAAAATCTTCCTTGCTGTAATGTCTGTCTGCTCAGGGGAGGTGAACGGGAGGTGGTCTGGGCTCACGATGTCTCTCATTTGATCACTAGCAAAGCAGCTGGGTTGGCTGGATGTATGATGCTGCGATTTTTTGAGGCTTGTAATTAAAGGATATTTAGAATTAGACGAAAAACAGTTTTTCATCAGACTACCTAAGGTAATAATTTTACAGTGTTTTTCTTTTCCTCCATTCTAAAGTGCAGAAAAGCAGAAGTAGAACCTTCCAACAACCGCCCAACAGTTCTGGACTCCTCTACAAAATCATCGTTTTGTGCATTGCTGTTTTTATATATACACACACACATATGTGCTTTATACACAGCCTTGGGCAAACACTGAAGGCTTTGCAGTGTCTGGGTTAGTGTAAGTGTGTCTAACACCCAGAAGCAGTCTCCCTTACCACACAGGCCTTTGCCGCGTGTTTCCTCGACATTTGTAATGCTGTGCTGTGTGGCAGTTCATACCCTGCCTTTGCTGAACGTTCGTAGGTTTTTGTTTGGGAATTGGCTGCTTATAAAAACTGGAGTCTTGTTTACACTTGTTAAAATATTTATGCGGGAAAGACCTGATGCTGTTGTATTTGTTCATAATCAGTTTGATTTTCAGTGCGCAGTACTGTGCTAATTGGACATGCCAAGCTCCACAAGTCCAACAAGCTCAGCTCCACAAAATGCTTTTCTGTTCATTTAGAGCTCATTTTTGTGGTAAAAACCTGTACATCTATGAGCTGATGTACTGTTTCAACTTTGTTTTAAAGGATTTGACAAAATAGCCAGACAGCACTGGTTTTTTTTTGAGGAAGAAGAGTTATGTTTAAAAAGCTAGCTCAAGGAGGGGGCCCTTTGATGAGACTTCTTCCTCTGCTGTCTAAGCCTCTTCAAATTGCTGCACTATTGCCCAACTTCTGCGGTTACTTACAGGGGTGAAATGCAGAATTCTGTCTCTTTAAATCTCATTTCACAGCTCTGCGCTGCATTACGTAGCCAGTTTATTCTTGTTTCCTTGCGGGCAATCTGCTCCCTATATCCGTGTCAGAGTCGTCGTTACAAGGGAGTTGTTCTTGACTTGAGGCTCTGATGCTTTCAATAGTCTTCAGTGGCCAGAAAGAAAAGGGAGAGGGGAAGGAAGGTCAATGGCATGATTATAGTTTGAAAGCTTCAGTTGCAGATATTCACATTTGGTTTAAGCTAAGTTTGAAGATTGCAGCTGCATCTAGCTTAATCCAATTTCTGCACTGTTGTGCTGTGTTTTTAATCATTTCTTTAAATGAATGCGTGTTTTCCCTCAGTCCTAGCTGACATAGCTGGCAGTATTTTAATGCTGAATGAGAAGGCGTTCCTGAAGATGTTCTTTAATGCATTTTTGACGGTTTACATTTAAACTATTTGCTTAATTCTTTAACCTTTGTGGTCACCACTGATTTCATAGCTGGTTTATTACAAGTGATTGCGGGTGGCTCTACTTCCTATCAGAACTATACGACGTGAATTAGACCAGGACAAGCTATTATATGTGTGAAGAACAGAAGTATGCAAAGAGAACAGAAAACACCATTTAACAAAACTGAAGCAGGAAGGGAGGAGAGCATAGTAGAATCCTAGAAAAATACAGAATGGAAGGGACCTCCCGAGGTCCATCAACTGGTGTCTTTGAAGTTGCATTAAGCTGCTCAGGGCCTAGTGCAGCTGAGCTTTGGGTGTCCCCACGGAAGGATATGATACAGTCTCCCTGGACAGCCTGCTCTGTAATGCTTGACCACCCTCACTGTGCAGGATTCTTTCCTTGTCTCTCCTCAGAAGTTCCTTTGATGGAATGTGACTGCTGCCTCTTCCTCTTCATGCTGTGCATCTCTGATAATTCTGGCTCCATCTTTATAACCTCCCACTGAGTAGCTGAAGACACCCGTGAGACCTCCCCCTCAGCTTTCTCATCTTTATGACTGAGCAAATTCAGCGCTCAGCCCCACGCTACGTGCTCCAGGCTCTCTCCTGATCATCTTAGCGGCTCTCTGCTGGACTTGCTCCAGTACGTCAATGCCCTGTCTTGTGCAGAGGAGTCCTGAACTGGACCAAGTACTCTAAATACAGTCTCCTGAGTGCTGAACAGAAGAGAATAATCCCGTCCCTTGACCTGCTTGCTACAGTCTTAACAGTGCAGCTCCAGGATGCAGTTCATCTTCATCACTGCAATTGAGTGCTGCTGAGTCACGTTCGTCTTCTTGTCCATGAGGAATCTAGATCCTTTTCTGCAAAGCCACTCCTTAGCCAAGCAGT